TTACTCATGGGTTGTTCGGCCCCTGGCTCTGGTTTGGGACGCCCGGGCCTGAGCAGCTGCAGTGCAGCTCCACGGTCGTCAAGCCCCAAACCCGAAGGAAACCCCCCCAACCCTAAACCCTAACCCCTAAACCCCCACCCCTAAACCCTAAACCCTAACCCCTAAACCCTAAACCCTAACCCCTAAACCCTAAACCCTAAACCCTAAACCCTAAACCCTAAACCCTAAACCCTAAACCCTAAACCCTAAACCCTAAACCCTAAACCCTAAACCCTAAACCCTAAACCCTAAACCCTAAACCCTAAACCCTAAACCCTAAACCCCCCCAAGCCGTGCACCCTCCTCAACCACAGGCACCCTGCAGGCCCTAAACCCTACCTGGAGGTTCATGGTACTTACAAGTGGGTTTTAAGTACAGTTGTCCTAAACCCTAAACCCTAAACCCTAAACCCTAAACCCTAAACCCTAAACCCTAAACCCTAAACCCTAAACCCTAAACCCTAAACCCTAAACCCTAAACCCTAAACCCTAAACCCTAAACCCTAAACACTAACCCTAAACCCTAAACCCTAAACCCTAAACCCTAAACCCTAAACCCTAAACCCTAAACCCTAAACCCTAAACCCTAAACCCTAAACCCTAAACCCTAAACCCTAAACCCTAAACCCTAAACCCTAAACCCGCAAGTACAGGTATTTTTTTTCCAAAAGTACCACGAACCTCCAAGTAGATCCCAACCTTCAAGCCCCATATCTTCGCCCGTGCAGGTGAAGGCCGTGCTTGAGCAGGACCTGATGAAGATGAAGGTCCGGGTTTGGTTTAGGGTTTAGGGTTTCGGGTTTAGGGTTTAGGGTTTAGGGTGCCCCCGCACCCCCCACTTGCCGAATGTCAAAGAGTCCCCGCAAACTAGAGTCTACTTCGTCTGACATGTAGTGCTTGGCAGCCCAGTCCTTATTGCACTTTTTTGGCTTTTTGCGCTCCTCCCACAAGTAACCAACACGAGACAGAGAACTCTTAGAAGGACAAGGTTGCTGGGCTTCCAAGACCATGCAGCTGTCTTCAGTTGGTTTAGGTTCTAGTGAGTAGTCTTGGCAGACGGCCCAGATCCTCGCGTGGACAGGGTTGCCTGCACCTAGGGCACTTCTGCATGTTGAGAGGTTGCGCTTCCTGGGCCAGCTGGTGCGAAGCGGTCCTGCCGCAGCTTGGGCTCTCATCGGTTGGTACGGGCCTTATGTTAGCGCCTTGGAGGACGCTGGTTGTTGGTTGCTCTCCGCCCTTCGGGGCACCTGCCCTCTTGGACCTCTGTCGGAGTCGTGGCCCGCGTGGCAGGAGCTGCTTCGAGATCGCCCCGGCCACTGGAAGGGGCTGCTCAAGCGTGCCGAGGCTTGGCACGTGCAGGCACAAGGGCTTCAGGCGTCGCTGGACACCTTCGCTCGCACGGCATGGTCGCCGGCTGTGGATGTCCCAGACCCGAGCCTTGCGGCGCTTCGGGCCTGCTCTCACGCCTGTCTTGTGTGTGGCTTAGCATTCCGCTCTTTGCAAGCTTGGGGATCTCATGCGCACCGCAAGCATGGGTATCATTGTCGCGCTCACCTTCTTGCGGTTGGGCGTCGGTGCCAAGCCTGTGGCCTCACCCTTGCAAACACTTCTCGGTTACGCAGGCACCTGGATTCGTCGGCTGCTTGTCGACAGCTTCTCGCTACTCCTGGGGCTTCCCCACTCTTTCCGCCTGATAACTCGGAGGGACACCCGCAGGAGCCCGCCGTTCGTGATGCGACTCGTCCTGTTCATGTCGCTGCCCAGCATGAATGTTCTTGCAGCGCTAGCCGCTCTTAAGCCAAGCACAGATATGGACGTGTACGAGACGGTCGTTCGCTTTATCTCCCCCCTGCCAGTCCTGCGTGACACTTTGCGGGTTTGGTTGTCGGAGGTCTCTGATTCAGCGATTGCCGAGATGGGGGAAAATGTCCTTTTGGTCTTGCACCCGGAGCACATTTGTTCGGCGGTGGCGGGCAAGCCTCAGGAGTCGAATGACCAGCATGTCTTCTTGCCCCTTCTGCGGACTCCACTTGCTGGACCGACTGACCACTCCCTACCTGTCGTTTGGGTTGGGCACATCTGTCCACGTTGGGTTCAGACCTGGCAACTTGGCGCGCTGCCGCCTGTGCCTTGCGGACTTGAGGACGTGATTGCCGGTGCATTCCCGCAGGCCGCGGGTTTCTGTATTGCCCTGCCCTCTTTGCCCTCACCAGTTTCGGCCTTCTTCCGTCCCGATGCCATGCCCCTTAAGTGTTTGCGGGCACTTTGCGCATGGCTCGATCGTGCGCTTAAAGCACTTCTGGTCGTCCTGCGCCAAGCCCAGTCGGGCGTTCCGGCTCTTGTGCGTTTCCCTATCTCCGCTGAGTCTTTGCAACCCCTGTCTGGCTGGCTGCTCAGCCTTGCGGAGCTTGATGCCGGTTCGCTTCGGCCTTCTTGTTTCACCGTCGAATTCACTTCGTAGCATGAGGCACGTCGTTCTGATTTTCCGCCTGCCCGAAAGAAAATGGCAGACGAGCTCATTGCCCAAAGTCAGGTAGACTCGGTGTCATATAGGGATCGGAAGAACTAGAAGGAGTATTCCCTTATGGCCCCTATATCATTATACCATCATACGAATTCCCAAAAGCCCTATTCTAATTCTTAGGGCCTCGATGTTTCACCGCTGCTAGCAGGGCCTCAGTATGTGGAGTCCCAATAGGTCGGGCTTGCACTTCCCATCGAACCGTCTGTTTGACCTTCGTTTGGGGTTTATTGGGTTCATAGGGTTTATAGGGTTTATAGGGTTCACAGGGTTTATAGGGTTTATAGGGTTTATAGGGTTTATAGGGTTTATTGTGTTTTATAGGGTTTTATAGGGTTTATAGGGTTTATAGGGTTTATGGGGGTTTATAGGGTTTATGGGGTTTATGGGGTTTATAGGGTTTATAGGGTTTATTGTGTTTTATAGTGTTTTATAGGGTTTATAGGGTTTATAGGGTTTATGGGGGTTTATAGGGTTTATGGGGTTTATGGGGTTTATAGGGTTTATAGGGTTTATAGGGTTTATAGGGTTTATAGGGTTTATGGGGGTTTATAGGGTTTATGGGGTTTATAGCGTTTATAGGGTTTATAGGGTTTATAGGGTTTAGGGTTTATGGGGTTTATAAGGCGTAGGGTTGAAAGTTTCACTTTTTGTCGCCTTGGGTACAGCCTTGGGCATGCACAGGAAGCCTGAAACCGAGCACTTGTGTCTCATGCTACGAAGCCCGAAGCCGCAAACCCTAAACCCTAAACCCTAAACCCTAAACCCTAAACCCTAAACCCCAAACCCTAAACCCTAAACCCCAAACCCTAAACCCTAAACCCTAAACCCTAAACCCCAAACCCCAAACCCTAAACCCTAAACCCTAAACCCTAAACCCTAAACCCTAAACCCTTAACCCTTAACCCTTAACCCTTAACCCTTAACCCTTACCCCTTAACCCTCAACCCTCAACCCTCAAGCCCTAACCCCATATGCCTTGTACACCCGCTAACTCCAGAACTCCAGAAGAAACCCCTAAACCCGATATGCCCTAAACCTTAAACCCTAAACCCCAAACCCCAAACCCCAAACCCCAAACCCTAAACCCTGAACCCTAAACCCTAAACCCTAAACCCTAAACCCGAAACCCTAAACCCTCGACTCTACACCCACTTCATCAACCCTAGACTCTAAACCCTAAACCCGAAAGGCCCTAAACCGTACAATTCTAGACACACCCCTAAACCCGTAAACCCTGAACCCTAAACCCTAAACCCTAAACCCCAAACCCTAAACCCTAAACTGTGAACCCTAAAGTCTAAACCCAAACCCCAAACCCCAAACCCCAAACCCTAAACCCTAAACCCTGAACAGGGCTTCTGGCCCAGCTCCGTGGAAGAGATCCCTGTGGGGGACAGCCTCAAGGCCTTGGGGTTTAGGGTTTCGGGTTCGGGTTTAGGGTTTAGGCTCTTTAGAGTTCAGGGTCTTTCGGGTCTACGGGCTTCAGGGTCTAGGGTGTTAGGGCTTTAGGGTGTACGGGATTTAGGGTCTAGGGGTTAGAGGGTCTAGCGGTTTTAGGGTTTGAGGTTGTTTAGGGTTCGGGGTGTTCGGACTTTGGGGTTTTAGGGCTGAATGGTTTCAGGGTTTCGGGGATTTAGGGTCTTCGGTTTGAAGGTTTTTGCGTGTAGGGTTTTCGGGTCTGGGGGTTTTAGGGTTCCGTTTTTTTGGGGTTTAGGGGTGTTACAGATTTAGGGTTTTCGGGTTTTAGGGTTTTAGGGGTTTAAGGGATTTAGGGTTTCAGGGGTTTCAGGGTTTAGGGTCTTAGGGTTGTTGGGTTGTAAGGTCCGGGTGTTCTAGGGTTTACATCTAGGGGCAGGGCTCAGGTTGCAGGGTTTAGCTTAGGTTTTAGGGTTTAGGGTTTAGGGTTTAGGGTTTAGGGTTTTAGGGTTTAGGGTTTAGGGTTTGGGGTTTAGGGCTTAGGTTTTAGGGTCTAGGGTTTCAGGGTGTTGGGGTTGCTGGGTTTCAGGGTTTTTGGTTGGCGTTAAGCGCAGCAGGAGCCTCCTATAAGAGCTTCTTCTGCCATCTTGAAAGATTTATCTAGTTTTCCTTACTGCTGAATTGTACGTAGAACCCCGGTTAAATCATCTAGGGCCTTAGTGTATGGTTCCCCAAGGAAATACGCAAGATATAGAAGCCTTTGACAACAGTTGACTCCTTCACCAACAACTACGCCTCCATTCAGTAGCGCTGCGGTTGTTTAATCCCAATGTTCCTCAACGCTTTGTGCAGCTTCAGCGTGCCCTGGATCTCTGCGCTCAGCCAAAAGCCTGGGGCGCTGCAGGAAAAGGAGGAAACCCTAGACCCTAAACCCTAAACCCTAAACCCTAAACCCTAAACCCTAAACCCTAAACCCTAAACCCTAAACCCTAAACCCTAAACCCTAGGTGGCAGGGGGGCGGCTCCCCAGCCCCAGCAGCTTCGACGACCGGGGGGTACGACCTTCGGCCTCGCCTCCACCAGTCGGAAAGTGCCGTTGGACGCCTGCAAGGTCAAAGCGAAGTAAACCCTAAATCCTAAATCCTAAACCCTAAACCCTAAAGACTAAACCCTACACCCTAAACCCTAAACCCTAAACCCTAAACCCTAGACCCTAGACCCTAAACCCTAGACCCTAAACCCTAAACCCTAAACCCTAAACTCTAAACCCTAAACCCTAAACCCTAAAGCCTAAACCCTAAACCCTAAACCCTAAACCCTAAACCTGCAGGCCACTGTGCGTTTGGGTTCCCTGAGTCCACGGCCTTAAACCCGAAAGTCTTGAAGTTTCGGGGGCTTGGGGGACCGGAGAGGTTTTGGGGCTTAGGGTTTCGACCCCAAAGCCCAAGAAACGCTGGATCCCTAGCCCGAAGCCCGAAGCCCGAGGCCCGAAGCCCGAAGCCCTAAACCCTAACCCCCACCCTAAACCCTAAACCCTAAACCCTAAACCCTAAACCCTAAACCCTAAACCCTAAACCCTAAACCCTAAACCCTAAACCCTAAACCCTAAACCCTAAACCCTAAACCCTAAACCCTAAACTCTAAACGGGGTATCGGGGTCGAGGTCTTTGGTCTTGGCCCCAAGGCAAGCCTGCGAATTGCCAGGTCAGTCGTGACGACCACGTCGAGGAGTATTTGCTTAAGAGCCCGCAACAAATCAAGAATAATGTTCCCTAGTGTGCGGAGACAAGGAAAACACAGTTTGTTATTTCTATTTCGTTTTGTTGTGTTTTTTTTGTTTGGGGGGGGGGGGTCTTAGGCATAGCTTGGGATGTTCCCCCCTATACTGAAAGTCCGTAGTAGGGAATATAGTATGCCCAATTAGAATTTTGGTACAAGGAGGGACTTCCCAAGGCATCGTAGATAAGGTTCATAGGGTTTGCGGTAGGGCTTTTTGAGTTTTGCAACCCTCAAGGTTTGCACAAGTATAAGGGTTACAGGTTTGGGGTTTGGGGTTTGGGCTGTATGGTGTTTCAGGTATAGAGGACTTCTGGGTTTAAATGGTTAGCTAATTATGGTTTTTTTTGTTGTGGAGGGGGGGGGGGGGTGCTTATATACAGGGTTCATGGCGCTGGGGCGAATAGAGTTCAAGGTTTGCAGGGTGTGGAAGTTAGGGTCGAGGGTTCAGGGCTTCTATTTTTTTGGGTTCAGCGGCTTATAGGGTTTATGTCAGGCTTCCGGTTTCAGGCTCAAGGCTCGTTGCCAGAGATTGGCTTTGAGTTTAGGGTGCATCAGCAGCATCATCATCGCGACCTTGAGCCTTTTGCTACGGAAGCTGAGCATGACGAATCTAGACCATAAGCCCCAAACCGTAAACCCTAAACTCTAACCCCCCCCGTTGGTCTTAAGATATTCCCCCCTATACTAACAGTCCTTACTGGGAAATCTAATAGGGGGTACAATGATCGCTATTAAGGACTGTTAGCAGAGAACATCCCAACCCATATCCTAAACCAGCACGCACCCTGCACCCGAAATTGGCCCGGCCCTATAGCCATTCGCGCAGGACGTGCTGTCCGCCCTGATGGAGCAGGGGATTCTTGCGCGGTCGTCCGTGCACCATGATTGCAACTAAGGTTTTAGAGAGTTTAGGGCTTAGCCCGAACTTTAGTTACACCCCTGTACAGTATAAAGCTCCAAGTTTTCGACTCATCTGCCTGTGTTTCAGGTTTGTTTGGGGGGTGTTGTGGGGTGTGGTGTGTCTTTCGGTTTAGGGTGTTTAGGGTTTAGGGTTTAGGGTTTAGGGTTTAGGGTTTAGGGTTTAGGGTTTAGGGTTTAGGGTTTAGGGTTTAGGGTTTAGGGTTTAGGGTTTAGGGTTTAGGGTGCGAAGTGATTGGGTAGGGTCCTCGTCCTCGCAATGGCAATGTTCCGTGCAAGTGGCCCCCTGCCAGGCAGCCTTTTTTAGATGGCGACCTTGGCTCGGGTTTAGGGTTTAGGGTTTAGGGTTGAGGGTTTAGGGTTTAGGGTCTAGGGTCTAGGGTTTAGGGTTTCCCCCCCCCCCGGATTTGTTCCGGGGGCTGGGTCCAAGCAACCTTTGAAAGGGTCCGGGTGGCAATAAGAAAGCCTGGGGGGGGGGGCCCTCTTCTGGTCGGCTTCTGGGTAGTACCTAGTAGTCGTAGAGGGAGCCAGACCGGCGCCCTCCCCGCCCGCCGGACTTTATGAAGGACACCCTTTATTTTTATTATTATTATTATTACTATTTGGAGGCCTCGTAAGGGGTAGCCTTGTCGGATTTGTTTGGGGTTGTTTTTTCAAAGGTTTTTAAGAAAGAACTGATGCTTTTCGGTTGGCTGCGAAGATCAGGATTTCTGAGCCAGAGGACTGCCTCTGCTGAAGGGAAGCACTCTCAGCCATACGGTCTCTGCCTCGATTGAAAAGAGTTTGCAACAGGAGTTCTCTCGAAAGCCTTTTTGGGAAATTCT